TGATATCCTTACTTTGAGTGATCTGCATGGTCGACCAAGTAAGCGTATGAGAGAAACGACAAAAAAAAACAGTCAATTAAAGGGAAAAATATGCCGCAATTAGACATGTTATAGGCTCCAGAAGAAAAAATTGTGGCGGGCCATCCAAACCCTCTTAAGGGAGTATGCACCAATAGTAGAGGAAAAGAAAAAAAAAGTTTGGCCAAAATCCATGATGACGTATTTTCAGAACGGTGAAATTTGTCAAATTTTCACCAAAATTCACCATTTTCACTACCCTTAAAACCTCCCAGATGGTTCTCAAACAACTTTTAATGCTTTTCCCACATTCCTAAACCCTCAAGAACACCTACAAAAAATTTTGAAAAAATATTTTTGTTTTTACTATTTTTAAACTTATAAAACCATAAAACTGGTGCAAAAACTAAACCGTTCAAAATTTTTTCAAAATAATTAACATGGTGAGTCAGGGGCCGATACTGAATCGATTGATACCACTTAGGTCGAAATCCGAGGACCTCGATTCCGAACCGTCGTTGGATTCACGTGGAATGTCCCCCCTGCGACCAACGAGTCAGCCGCCAGAGCGCTCAGAAAATGAGTCGCACTCAGCGTCCAGTCCGAGAGCGGCCGCCGCTCCGCCTGGGCGGTAGGCAGCCACTCGGCTGTCTTGAACGGAAAGTGTCCAATTTTCATTGTTGTCGTTTCTGTGGTTATGACTGAGTGCCGTGGACGGCCCGGCCGGTGTTTCTGTAGCACCGTCGGCGATTTCCGAGCCGTTTCTCTTTGGGTTACGCCGTTCTGTCTCGCAGCGTCGCGGACGCGTCGCTGACACGACTCATTTTCTGAGCGCTCTGGCGGCTGACTCGTTGGTCGCAGGGGTTTCGGCGTTTGCACCCGTGTCAAGGAAGGTCGTCCCTGGTGTTCCTGGCAGGGCTAGGAAGGTGTAGAGACCGTTCTTTGAGCATTCGACGCGTTTCTACACCATTCTCGGCATTTGCAGGCCATTTTGGAATGGTGTAGAAACCGTGACAGTCGGAAAGGGCTACAAAGGGCAGTAAAGGTCTGTACGCCGATTCCAGAGCAATTGCCAAATGGCGAAGAAACGCTTTAGTCAGATCGTTGAAAGAACGGGGAACAATTTTGTGCATGCCAATGTTCAAATGCTGTGGAATTGTGAGACTTTGGTCTGAGGTCATTTCACGAACGGTGTGCGATCGGTGGGGAAGGGCTAGGAACGGTAAAGGAAGGGGACGGAACGGCGTGGATGCGAAGGCCTCGTGACCGTTTCCAGAGCGTTTCCACAGCATTTTGGAAATGGCCACAGCGCTAGCTCCCGCAGTGCTTGAAGAGAGCCATTGGACCAGCAGTCGCAAGGAAGCCTGGTGGGTTGGGGGTAGCGTGCGCGCTCTCGGCCCCCCGGGGCGGGGTTCAACCCCCCGGGGGCGGCTCGTGATCGCTCTGAGAACTGCGGGGGAACGGTGTAGGAACGGTGTAGGAAGGCGTGGGAAAGGTGTAGCAACGGGTGGACGTTGCATGCAGTTTTTTTTGGGTTGGCTTACAAATGGTCATGATCGGTGAGGAAGGTGTAGCAATGGGGGACGCCGAGCGCAGCGCATTTTGGTTCGGCTTACGAATGGTCACGATCGGTGTAGGAACGCTGTCGAAATGCTAAAAATGGTCTGCACACCGTTTATAGAATGCTAAAATGTTCACACTTGTGGTGTAGAAACGGTGCGTACCCCAAATCAAGACCATTTCTGAATGGCCAGTAAATGGGAGGTCAGCGTTTGGAAATGCTGTAGGAATTGCCGCAGGAACGCCAGGGGTGCGCTCCTCGACGCACCTGAGCGGATGTTGTGCCCCTCCTGGTTACGGAGAATCAGGGGTGCAAACTTAGGGGTTGAAAGTGACACGATTTAACGTCTTTTGGGCCCCGGTCGGGAACGAATGACCCGAATCACTTCAAATTTGGTGTCGAGCTGCCTGAAGGACCCCTCCATCGTGCCGCGAACACGGGGTCCCGCTGGCGGCTCCCCATCCCCTTCAAAAGGGGTGAGGGGCGTAAGTGGTTTCCACCCCCTGCCAAAACGTTGTTTAGCAACGATGTGCAGTTTTTTCGTCTGGAATCGATTCAGGCGGTTAAAATCAATCGTGTTTCTTGCTTTGGCCCAGTTTTTGACATTTTTGGTGGTTTTAGGGAAAAAACAAGATTTGGGGTGTCAGTCGTTAGGGGCTGGTCACCTCCTGGAGAGTGCCACGGACACGGAAACACTTTTGCACGGCAAAAACGGAACCTGGTTTTCCTAGGAAGCCTATGGTTGAGACACAGGCGATTTCCAGGAAGCTCCTGGGAAAACCAGAAACCGTTTTTACCGTGTGTCGTGTCCGGGGGACCTCCCGCTACCACGCTGACCACCTGGAAAAGGTCCTAAAGAATCATCCCTTGCAGGGGGTGGTTTTTTTTCGGGCTCAGGAACGGCGCGTCGTACAGGGGGGGCTCTGGTTTTAATCAAAAGGGGACGTCAAAACGAGTCAAGTCACCAAGTTTAAACCCTCTAAAACCCGGGAAGGCCATTTTGAACCTTACAAAAGTGTCAAAATTTGACACTGTTTTACGGGAGGGGTGGAAAAAGACGCAAAGGGGTGGGTTTCGTTTTTGAAACTTTGGGGATGTTTACCCAACACTTTGGCCCACCTCTCCTCAAAATTTCAAGTTTCTAGCTCAATTGTAGCAAGAGTTATAAGAAAAGGAAAAAGTGGGGCTTAAATTTTGACGGCCAGTGTATTCACTGTGGCAAAAAGGTACGGAAAATTCTGTTAATTTTTTTGCCAGGATTCTCCGTAGCCCTCTTATCAATATTCCCCGTAGGCTCTTACAGAATTCTCCGTAGGGCCGTACAGTATTCTCTGTAAGTCCGCACAGTCTTCTCCGTAGGACCTGGAAGACTGTATAGTCCTACGGAGATCACTGTAAGGCCCTAGGGAGAATACTGTGCGGCCTACGGAAAATACTGTAAGAGCCTACGGAGAATATTGATAAGGGGGCTACGGAGAATTCCTACAAGCTGCTTACAGAATTTTCCGTAGGTTTTTGCCACAGTGTTGGTGACGACAAAGGGTGATCCATGAAGACCAACCCAGACCCATTCTTTACCCATTATTGATCAATTTGATATCAATATTTTTCAATCGAATCTCATATTGATTCTTGGAGTTTTGGGAGTGCTGATTATGAAAACCACTTCCGTCTCTACTCCAGACTTATATTTTCATCTCAAATTAGGTCATTTTGGACCAAAATTTTCAGGTCGAGTTTTATATTGTTTCCTGCAGTGTTTGATGAGCTGAACTCAAAAATAACTTCCAAATTTTTCCCAGACTCACGCCTTACCCAATTTAGACCAAATTTGGACCAAAATTTTTGAATTGAGTTTGATGTTGATCCCAACAGTTTTTTGTGTGCTGATGACGAAAATCTCCTCCATTTCGACTCCAGACTTATATTTTCATCCCGAATTAGGTCATTTTGGACCAAAATTTTCAAATCAAGTCTTTTATTGTTTCCTGCAGTTTTTGGTGCGCTGAGCTCAAATATGACTTCCAAATTTTTCCCAGGCTCACGCATTACCGAATTTTGACCAATTTTGGACCAAAATTTTGGAATCGAGTTTGACGTTGATCCCAACAGTTTTTTGTGTGCTGATAACAAAAATCACTCCCATTTTTACTCCAGACCTACATTTCACTCAATATGAGCCCACAAGCTGCAGTCCGAAGTGCACAAATTCGCATCGCTACGCGCCCACACAAAACAGCGCGTACCCCTAGTTTACTCGGTGCCTGGCCAACTAGCAATTCAATTCTGCGTGCTTATCCCAGTACGCACTTTGAAATGCGTGCTTGGTAAGCATGCACTTGTAAGAGCGTACTTGGATGAGTACGCTTCTGCAAGTGCATGCTTGACCTGACCAAGCACGCTCCTCAAAGTGCGTACTGGGATAAGCACGCTCCTGGAGAAGCGTGCTTGGAAGCATGCACTTAGAAGTGCGTACTGAGTACGCACTTAAATTTTGTGTGCGTGTGGTAATCTTGTAGTAATCGTAGTAATCCTGTGGTAATCTTGGTAATGGCAACTGTGTGGGCGCGAGTCTAACGCCCGCAGTGCAGGCGGGCATGTGTCGGGCCCGAAATGGCATACGATCATGTGTGCTCTAGCCCTTAGTAGTAATGGCAATGACAAGGTAGGCCACCAATTAGGCCCGCAAGGCACCAGTGTGGAAGTGGAGGCCGACATGATCGATCTCTGATCGGGGAGGTGTCTTCCCCGGGCACCCGAAGTGACCCGAAGCCACCCGAAGGCGTGTCTGATATGTGCGTCCTCGTGCCACATTTTAAATTTTTTGTGAACTAAATTGACTATTATTTTCCTATCCAAAACTATTGCTGACAAAGATACTACTTAAGAGGACTCTCAAAGAAGTTGCCTCTCCA